TCGTGCACGTTTTTCGGGTACACGTTCACAAAAGACATTTCAAATACACAAGCATCATTCGTTCCGATTTTCTCAACGTATTGGCGATGCGCCGATGGAATTTCATAAAAAATACCCAAACTCTTTGTCTTCACTTCATATTCAGGAACGACCTTTACAATGGATACACAATGGAAAATAATAATAAATGAACACAATACAAAAATTTGCAAGAATCTAATTTACGACGGAATTTTGCACGTGCGACCGAGTTTTGCACTTGCGACCGTACTTCGAAATCACACTCATCGCACATAAAGTACATGTTTGATGATGTTTTTTATTCAATTTTTCAATTTTACTTACCTTGACAATGCCAATTTCATTGTTTTCGTCACTTTCAAGCAAATTTTGTATAAAATTTCCCACATTTTCATCTTTCATGAAGCGAACAGTTCGATGTGCGTACATTTCGGCACATTCAACACATTACTTAACTTGACTCTTTTACAAAAATTATTAATAAATTTCAATATTATTATTATGATCGATGCAATTATCAATTTATATTATTTTACTATTTTATATTTTCTAAACGTTTGTTGACACAATTGTTTCGATTGCAGCGAAATGTCATCGGCAAGATTAATTTGCGTTCTGGACACATTATGTAAAGGAGTTGGTGATTTTCCTTCATATGAAGTGAGTCTACTGTCAAACGTCAATTTATTATCGAACCCTTCTATGAAATGTACAGTGGCGCCACTTTTTGGTACTAAGTAATTCCATAGAAAGGTTCGATAAAATATTGACATTTGACAGCAGACTCACTTTTTCACGAACTTCTTTGGCGCTGCAATGCAATTTATTGTCAGGCCGATGAAAAAAAAATAACTCTATTAAGTGTTTATGTTTAGTTTCATGCGATTTCTGTGAGAGCATATAAGAATGTACTCTAAAATGTACGATTTACCGACTAGCCAAACCACTGTAGTTTAACCACATAGTTCATACGTGTCCATAGCTATGTGGATAGCTATGTGGCGTCGAAATTTATCGAAAACATTCGATTCGTTGTGTTTATGTTTAGTGTCATTAACACAACGGAAAAAGCCATTAGGCATAACTTCATTTTTATGTTTTATAGACCAATGCGTGAAATAAGAGCTCTTTGCCGCAAATGTTTGTTGACATTTTTCAGAAGCACACTTCACTCTCTGAACACTTTTTGCATGTAATTTTTCATGCCTTTTTAAATTAAACAAATTAGCTTTTATTTTTTCTCCACAATAGCAACACAAAAAAAACATTTGGTTTTATACAATTAAAAATATAATCAACAAGTTTTTATTTACACTGATTATTTTTAGCACGCTTAGCTGTCAAAGCAATGTTATGGATACATGACACATATATAACATATCTGACCGCCAGGTGGCGATTTGTAGCTAAAGGGACAGATATATGCTTTAGTCGTACCGGGTGAAAACAGGCACGTTTTGCATTGAAATTCATCACAGGAGCGAAAAAATTACCAACAACAAATCAGATGTTACTTGATCTAAGAAATGAAAATGCCGTTAATATAAGGGACGGTAATAAAGAAAAACCCCATGTGTTGGCACTTCGTCACAAGGACTATTACGGACAGCTTGCAACAGCGGCAGAAATTGAAAATATACCAGATCTTATAGCAGACTTATTCACAGACGCAATTAAAAGCCAAAAGGAGCCAGGTTTTCGTAACTACAAATACATCATTGACGGCATGCATTTCAGAAAAGAAATAGAGACATTAAAATGATTGGTGGAACGAAAAACTATCATCTCAAAGAAATGCCCAAAAAGCTGAACCTCTGGTTACGTGTAATAAGGCAAAATATGTTCTTTCTCAAGGCCATTATTTTGTATATTCGTTTGTTATAATTTAAATTGATTGAAAATAAGCTACGCGAATATAAAACATTACTTGTCGTAAGTTACAAACAAATACAGTGCCGTCAGCGAGTTTGAGACCAAGCAAAAATATTTCTTCAAAAAATTATCGATTTGAATGAAAAATATTTGCTTGGTCCCAAACTTTCTGACGGCACTGTATTACAAAGCAAATATCAGGTTACACGTGTTTTTTAAATAAAAAGAAAAAAAACATTTTTCAAGCTCTTGTTGTTTCAAACTTATTCAAGTTTGAATAAGTCAAAAGATGCTTCATTTGAACATGTGGATTGCCATGAAAATTCATTCACAAAAAATATTGTAATTAAACAAATATAAACAGTAAGCACATTGAATCAGCGATTAAACCCCAAACCAAGACAATTTTTTCCTCTCAACAAAACTGAGCAAGTCGAACGACATGAAAATAGTAAGATAGAACTCGCAAGTGAATCGCAATTATTTGCATATAGAGAAAACGGCATTCAAACTATTTTTTTACCCTTTCCCGCTTTCTCTATTTTGCTCAAAATCATTTTGAAATTAAAATATCGTACCGGTTTCGAACGCTGGTGTTTATTATATCGCCGAATGGAATTTTTTTAAGGAGAAATTATGAATGACGTGTTTCTTACACGTGCTTATTTTTTCAGTATTTTTTTTTTGGTAAAGCGACACACCAAATAGTGTTAAGTAAACAATGAATATTGGTTTTTGTCTCAGAAAATAGTAGAAAATATGATGATATTCGATTGTTTTCTACAAAATTGACTACTAACCATTGTCTTCTTTTTAGTTCTCCATTCATTGAGAATTTTTCTTAAACTGAACAAGTAAATTTTTCGCTCTTCAAAGTTGATTTTCTTTTAAAATTTCTTCGGTTTTCGGATAAAATCGAATCAAAAAAATTTAGTTTTCTCAAAAATTAGTCTTAAAAAGAAAAAATTCATCTTGATTCAATCATCTTTTGAATAGCATAAAGAAAAATTGATGGCGATAGATAAAATAAAATGGATGCTTTTGGCATTTCTCTGTGGATTGCTAAGCACAAGTGCCAACGATACCCTTCCTACGACTGATAAAAGGATTCTGAATATTGCTATAATTGGAGCTGGGGCATCTGGACTGGCTAGTGCAAAGAATGCTATTGAACAAGGTCACAACGTAGTTATCTTTGAAAAAGGCGAAGCGCTTGGTGGGATATGGTATTACACAGACCAGATAGGAGAAGGTATACACTCTCCGATGTATTCTGATCTTAGGTATTCAATTGCTCTAAATACACACTTGACAAATGCCAAACTTGAAATAATATTGATGTGATAATTTAAAATAGAACGAACACTCCATATAAAAATATTTCCTGGCCACCACTTTCCAGAAGGCACTGAAATGTTTCCTACGCATGATGTAGTATGGCAGTACTTGGACTCTTATGCCGATGAATTTGGATTAAAAGACCACATAAAATACCATCATTTGGTTGTGCATGTTCAATCAATTGACGGAGATAAATGGCAAATCTTCGTCAATGACATGCAAACTAATTACACAATCATGGATACGTTTGATGCGGTTTTTGTTTGCACTGGATTCTGTTCTTCTCCACTCTATCCCAATATTCCGGGCGAATTCAAAGGGAAAATATTAATGCACAGTCATGATTATCGAACACCTGACAAATTCGAAGGTATGACATCCACGATTTTTTTTTATTGTTTTTTTTTAATCTGTATTTTTATTGGATTCAAATAGGAGAGAAGGTTTTAGGTATGATCAAGTTTTTTTAGTTCATAAAGCTCCTTGATTTATGGAACTTCAAATTATGTTATTTAGTCATAGGCGGCGGTACCAGCGGGACAGATATAGTACATCAAATTCGTGGCATTGCTAAACGTGTAACGCATAGCTATCATATTCCATCGGAAAAAATGTCTTTGGCACAAAAAGCATTAGGTTCGGGATTTTTCCATAGTTTGTTTATTTGTTTTGCTCAGGATCTGTAGTTAAAAGTAATCGATCGTTCAAAGCCTGAAACATTTGAATCCTTCCACAATAACGATCTTCTGGTCGGATTCAGGCGATTTTATTCGGCATCAATTGCGTTCAACTAGAAGATCTTTTGTGCTAAGGCGTATTAAATTGACTCGTAATTTATGCCAAAAAATTCGAATTCTATCGAAAGGCGAAGTTACTCATCCAAATAATATATTTATAGATAAAGCACGCGGAATTTTCAGTAGAGGTGACAACGGTATCACTCACAAAGGAGATGTGAAACGTTTCACAAAAAACGGTGCCGAATTTTCTGATGGGACGAAAAAAAACTTCACAGTGGTTATTTTTGCTACAGGTTGTTGTGTTCCACTCTATGGTTAAAAAAAAATCGATGAAATGATGAATTTCGTTTTCATTTCCAGGTTATAAATATTCATATCCATTTTTGGATGAAAATGTGGGCATTTGTGCTCATGACTTTTACGTGGAACCATTATTCAAACAAATCTTGAATATTGAACACAATACCATGGCATTCATAGGACTACCGATAACTGTAGCACACAATCCCATGTACGATTTACAGGTGAATACTACCCGTTATGTGAATGAAGAGACACAGTTTAATATAATTGCTTCAAATACAGGCTCGATTTGCGTTGAAGTTCATCTCTGGCGAAAAGCAATTTCCATCACAGACTAAAATGCGACAAGATCTTCAAAAACAAATTAATGCCAATGCCGAATTCCATCTGAAAAAACCGTATATGTTGGGATTAGATTACAAGCGATACTTTCGCGAACTTGCAAAAACTGCAAACATTGAGAACGTTCCGAATATTCGCTCGGGATAATATGCTTACATAACGAAACTGCAGGAATAGTATGAGTACCGCTTTGTTCCATCGAAACAAGAATTAATTCAAACTTTTTATATGATTCAAACCTTTGAACGAAATAAATGGATCGGATTAAAAATGTATCTTTTTTTATTTTAAGTATTGTAGAATTTTTTTTTATTCAAAATGGATGCAACAGTGATTTCATGAATGAGATTTCAGCTGGGTGTTGCATCATGTGCATGGAGATGGCTTGTCGACAGTATGATGATAGTCGCAGCGGTGGCTTCTCAATTGCAATGACTGGCTTGGTCACTGAAGGATTTTTTGAGTTGCGAATTGAATGAAGCTGCATAATCACACATATGACATTTGTGTTTCTTTTGTTCTTTTGCTTTAGCTGGATCGATTGACGCTTTATGGTTGGCGTTTTTGTTCTTTCCACTTTTCTTTTTTCCACGCTGTTCATCGTTGTCGTTTACATTTCCTCCTACATTGGCTACATTTATACCGTCGTTGTGATTGCTGGAATTATCATTTAAGTGTCCGTCCTGTGCAGCGTCACATTTCTTCATCGAACATTCGTCTTTGTTGCTTTTAATTTCTGTTTTCACACAATCCGGTTCGCTTTTCAAACACAGTTCGTCGTCGGTCTCGCTCTCTGATTTGATTGTGCCACTTGTTTCGATTGGTGATGTTGGTGGCGAGAATTGAACCATATATGTGCCGTCTCCGTCCCTTGGTTCCACTTTGATATCGTTTTCTTGTTTTATTGTCGTCTTTGAGTGTTTTGACTTTGGCTTTCGCTTGCGCTTGTGTCTACCATCCGAGGTACCTTCACCCGGATCTGAATTGGAGACCATGACTACCTTTGCAAAAAACTGTAAGAAAAGTTATGAAATCTTAATTTTAACATTCGTGTGTTTCAAAGAAGTAAAATGTCACATTTTTGTGAACAAGAATGTTCTGGAGAAAACTAGCAAATTCCAAGAAACACCAAACTGTATTGAAAATCGAGAAAATCTATTATCTACTGGACAAAACAGATGTTTTCAATCCAAAATTGGTTCGATTAACTATGAATTCATATGTAAATGCCAAAAAATAGAATAATTAATATTATTCTAAAAATTGAGAATGAGCGATCAAAATGATTTTATTGAAAAATTCTCAAAGAAAATTGTTAATTTACTTGTTTGGATTGGAACTGATTCCATTATGTCTAATTCTCACTCGAAAATAATGGTTAAAATTCACCTTTAAATTATTCAATATTTTTGGGCGCGAAACGAGTGCAATTATGTGTTACTATGTCCAATGGCCGTCTGTTTCTGTCTGCTATGCTTTTATTGCGCAGTGCTCTCAATGAATAAGTTCAATTTGTGTCAACGAGGATAATGGCAACAACAGCAATGTGTGTGTTGGTACTTTAACGAACCAGATTGAAGTTGGCAGTGCTTAAATTCAGTGAATTTCAGATTAAACCAACGATTTTAGAGTCTTTAATCATTGTTTGAAATAAGCAATGAGGAACTTTTATTGAATTGAAGTTTTTACCTTTTATTTTAACGTTTTGAATGGAGACAAAGAATGAGGAGTGAAAAAGATGCAAATGAAGAAAACTTTGGATTGGTTTATTCAATGCATTTTATTTGAATTTATGACATTTTTGATTCAATTCAGTTGATGATAATAGTGATTTGGAAATGATCTGTCAATTTATTTTATTGAATAGAGAAAGTACTTTAAATGAGAAGGTGTTGAACAAACGATGAATATCTGTTGTTTTAATCCATCGGTGTGGAATGAAGTGATCGGATTAGGGCCGATCTTCACTTGTTTTGACGATGAAAATTCTTTATGTGACGATTAGCGTTGCATTGAAGAGAGAATCGGGCATCGCACCATTTGCATGGAAACGGTTTCTCACCGGTATGATGGTTACGCATGTGGCTTTTTAAATTCATTGGACGTTGCATCAAAATTTTGCAGATGTAACATTCATAGTGGCGTCGATTGCAATGCTTTTCATGTGCATTCTTGTCGTCTCCGTTTGCAAATCGACAACAACATTTGGTGCAACGCATTGGACGCGGTTTGGCATGAATCGTCAAATGTTTCTTAAGGTAACTTTTCAAAGCAAACTTCTTGTCACACATTTTGCATTGAAATTGTTTTTCGCCGGTGTGCTTCAATTGCATGTGGTATTTCAAATGACTTTTCTTGAAACATTTATATGGGCAAATATGGCATTCGTATCGTCGACACTTGCATCGATCCTCATGCGATTGTTTGTCGATTTCGACAGCAAATCGGTGTCCACATTTTGAGCAGGCAAACGGTAGTTGTTTGGTGTGAATGCGTAAATGTTGGCAAAAATGATATTTTTGTTTAAATGCTTTTGAACAAACGCGGCATTGGAAAGGCTTCTCGCTACTATGGATTAGCATGTGTTTCTTGAGACTTGACAATTGATCAGTGGTGTATTTGCATACAATACATTGGTATTGTCGATGTTGGCATTGCTTTTCGTGTTCGATCTTTTCGCTTTCTTGTTTGAATCCTCGGCGACACTTTTGACAATGGAATGGAAATTCGGTGGCATGAACTTTCATGTGTCGATTTAAATTACTTTTCTCTGAAGAAGCCTTTGCACATATTTCGCATACGAAAGGCTTTTCGCCGGTGTGAATTCGGGTATGTTTGATGAGACTGATTTTCCACGATGCAGTATAATCACACACGTGACATTTGTGTTTCTTCTCCTTCTTTACAGCTGATTTCTTTGCATCTTTCGATGTATTTTCCTTCTTTGCTCCTCTTCGTTTCTTTCCCTTGGAATTACATCCACTCTGTCCTTCGCTATTCAAAGCGTTTCGTTCTGGATGCAATCGATTTCCATCATTTCGATCATCGCCTTTGCGTTGATTTAAATCATCACCTGATGAGCAGCAACTTTTCTTCGTACATTCTTCGTCTTCACTCTTGATTTCTTTCTTTGCATAATCAAGATCATATTTGCTACACACCTCACTGTCGCTCTCGCTCTCCGATTTGATCGTGCGTTGAGTCGCAGCAATCGGTGATGGTGGAGGCGAATAATGAATCAATTCACCGCCGTCTATTGGCTCCTCTTTTATGATAACTTCTTCCTTGATTTCGACCTTTCGAGTGCTTTGTTTGCGCTTGTATCTACGCTTAACCCTTCCATCTAATGTACCTTTGCTTGGGAATGGTTTCATTGTGACTTTTTTCTGGTAACTGAGCAAAGAGAATAAAACAAAAGACAATCCAATTCAAATACTTTGCAGTTTGAAATGTATAAAGTTCTTAATAAAAAAATGTATCTCGTTCTGAATTTATGTTATTCTTTTGAACAGAAATTTAATGTCAGAAATATGTGACACCGTAATTGTCACGATAAAAGTAAAATACTTCCTCCGATCTGGCGGAATGTACTGAAACTAATCGAACGTGGCTCGTGCAGTATGCAAATGACGTCATCGAATTTTCCAGAACGAAAATTGATCGGAGCAGAAATGTTGTGCACAAGATCTGAATTAATTTTGATTGGATAAATGCAAAGAAGAAGAAAATCAACTGAATCACTATGTTTCATAAGGAATGAATTGCACAAAAACATTACATAACCTTCACTTTATCTTGCAATGCTGCGCTACTAGGCCTCTACACCAACAAATAATTCTAACTATTTTCCTATTTCAATTGATATTAATTCCTCAAATTCTCTTTATCTCGAGAAAATTTGAGGCAATGATTATAAAAATTTAAAGCTCTTACCTTTGAATTATTGAATTTATTTGTGTACAAATCGTGATCAATTCCTTCGTCAGTATGATACACGTGTTGTTCCAATGATTGCAGGCTTGTGACTTGTGTGCCGTTAGTGTGCGCAATAAATTGGCACTATGCAAAATGACGCAAACTAATTTGCTTCGTTGATGTTGGCAATTCCAGTGGTTCGAAGTGAAGGTGGTCGTCATTAAATTCAATGAATTCCAAACATGAAAATCTATTTAGATATAAAATTGATCAGAATCACAATTTAAATAACGAGAAAAGCGATTAATTAAGAATGATTTATTACTTTTCCGCACACACCTAGTGTGTAAGGTAAAGTATTGGAATCGGTCGAAAAATTAACACAGAGTTCATTAAAAAAGGCATTTCGTTGATTTAAAAAAACATTGTTTTTTTATTTTCATAATTTTCGAGGTACATTTTCAAAGAAGATTTAAATATGTACACACTCTTTGAAAATTACCAAACCACTGCAACTTATATTTTGAATGGGAGCACGATTTAGTATTTTTCAAAGATGTATGTGCGAGTGTGTGTGTGTACAAAAGTTTGCATTCAAGAAGCACAACGTGAATTTATCACAGCTTTCATTTTGCACAAATTTACATGCATGTCGATGGCAACCTTCTCAATCATTTCTTTCGTAGCCGCGTTAGTTTCTCTGAATAACATAAAAATTTGATTTAAAAAATGACTTAAGGAAGATAAAGATATGGCACATTTCATACTTGTTTTTGTAAAGTTTCCTTAATTGTTCTCCATTTTCCATGATATTGACTTTGTAGACGCTAATTAAGACGGAGTTTATTATCAAATTTTATTTCAAAAAATTAGTTAAAAAAAACTTACTAAGTGAATCGATTAGTTTTGCAACCATTTTGAGGTTTGCCATTATGAATTTCGTCAAAGTTTTTGAATGTCGCCGTTGCTCTTTTTATTATTCCTTCCAGTGCTCTATTGCAGAATTATTTAAGAGAATATTATTATTTAATTCTTTTTCGTGCAAAATCGAACAGTTGAAAATACTCACGGATCTGACAAATAATTTGTTTGACTATTCTTAACTCGATTAACCATTTCAATGTAATCGACGATTTTTCCAGTGCAGCTAAAATCAATTGCATTGTTTATACAGAACTTTTTGAAAGATTTATTTTACATACTGTTTTATCCAATTAGCGCCATCAATTTCGGTTGCAGCCTCACAAATGTTTATATCTGGAGCCGGTGTCTCTATCGAACGGAGTCTTTCACTCACAGATACCATAAGGGATGGCAATAACTCTAATGGATTCGAACAGCAACCTGAGAACAACAATTATAATGTCCTAAATAAATATAAATGTAAAATTGGCATCCAGCAATGCGTAAAACATGCGCAATAGAAATACCAGCTGACGATTACACGTAGAATATTTAATAAAATTAAGATAAAACTTTTTACGTAATCACGTTGAACTGTATGCAAGCAACAAGGAAAAAAGACAGACATTTCGTCACGTGATATTTCTAAGCCGCCTGTTTTCTTGAGTCATACATCTACTGAATACTGAAATTAATGTCTTATTTTAAAATTAAAAATCGATTTTTTACATGAAGCTTTTTTACTGCTTGAGGCCCCCATACTCACGGCTGAAATCTATTTCAAATTAAACAAAGCAGAAAAAAATTAATTTTTTTTTCAAGAACACGAATGCATTACATTCAGTCGACTTTTTTGCAAATCAATTTTGAGAGCAGCTTTTTTAAAGAAAATAATTACAACCATTATTTGACTGATTCATGCTTGGTAAAATAATAATTTTAAAATAAAAGTAAATTTTGTTTGAAAGATTGTAGCGGATATCAAGTGATTTTTAACTTACTATAGCAATTGCTATAATTCCCAAGCAAATGAACACTTTCATTTTTTTAATACGTTTTTGTAAATATGTAAAATGTATTGGAACCAACTCGATTTACCGACTGAACTTAATTGCGTCAGATCTCTTAATTTATAGCAAAGTGACACAGTACACAAATCATCATCATCATTTTAATTACATAATTTGAATATTTATCTACACGTGTCCCGTGTGTAAATAAAGAGGCTTACGTTCGCAAGCTGACTTCTCCGCGTGGCACCTGAAAAGTTGTGAATATTATTTTCTCATCAATATAAATAATCTCACCAAGTTTAAAGAAATTTTAGTCAAAAATATAGTTAAACCCATACAAAATTTTCGATTTTTGGTCGAAAATGAAAATTTTGTATGGAAGGTATCCCTAAATTGTATTGAAATTATTTCAATCTCTCAGAATGTTATTTTATTGTGAAAAAATAACCTCTGCAAAGTTTCACGTCGTTAAGATATCATATAGGCATTGATTCCATACAAAAATGCCCATTTTTAGTAATTTTATTATGAAGAGTGTGTCGAAAATTATTTGTATCACAAAACTAATGTCAGATTCAGTTTTCTCGTGAATTCAAATTTGAGTAAAAGATATGTAATTAATCCATGTTGTGGATCACAGTGCGGAAAAGTTCATCTTATGGATGTAAGACATTTTATTTTATGTTTTATTAAAGTCAACTTTGCATTCAGACCAACGTCCCAAAATAGCTGTGACTGTGATGATTTGAAAATTTGTATGAAAACCAACCACTTACACTGATTGTAAGTGATTTTTTGCACACGGGTATTATTGGAACCATGCATTTAAAAAAACGTTTGTAGTGGTACAAATTCCGGTGAAGTGGAATGCCTTAGAAGAATTTTGAACTAAAAAAATAATTTTAATATTTCTTCAAAGAAATAAATAATGTGCAATTGCATCTTGTGAAGATATTATGGATGAAATATAGTCAAATACGGTTTGTTTGGTTTATAAAATGTTTTATTATTTGGTATTTGTAATACAATTGTCTAAGTGTTTTAAATGCTTAGTCGTACATTTTAAATTGTTAAAAATAATTTGTCATTAACGCTTCAACGTGACAAGATGATCTTTATTTCTCGACACCTCCCATGAATAATCCAATTCTTCACATAGCCACGTGTATTGTGTATTACGCGAAAGTGGGAATGAAAACTTTTTCAACGACTTGACACTATCGAATAGTATGATTGGTTCTTCGTCTGTGAATATAAACCCAGTGAGATGTAGTTCCTTGAGCGATGGCAAAGCAGCTGCAATTTCATGTGGCACCACTGGATTATTGTAGAGCGTTCGATCACAATACCATTTTGTTTGAAGTTTTGTGATGCGTGGATTTTTGCGAAAAATCTTAATGAAATCGCTGAACGAAAGCTTTTCATCCGAAGCAACGCGAATGTTCAAGCTGCGAAGTTGCGGATTCAAACGCAATGCTTTTTCAACATTTTCTTTGTTGATATCGGTTTTTTGATTGCCATTATTGATTTCAGTGGCCAGATACGTCAAAGAAGGGAATGAGACCTCGATGCAAGTGGGATCGAGATGATTACAGAACAGCTCGAGGTGACACAACCGTGGAAACCATTTTTCGAATTGTTTGAATTTTTTACTCAAACGGCACTCATCGAGACAAAGTGTGTGCATGGCTGCAGAAGAAAAGTAAAATCAATATTTTTGAATGGTTTTCTTGAATAACTCCATCTCACCTGAAAATGGCACCTTCAAATGTTCAAATAGATTTGATGACCGGTCAAAAACGGTAAGTTCCACCAAAGATGCGATGCAATAATCATAGATGTATTGATCAACAATCGAATGATGTTGAACGGTTGAATGGGCGAATGACAGCGTCAATTTGGTAATGGCATGGTTGAAACAGCGTAAAAACTGCAAGCATTCCTTCAGTCCGCTCACAGTGATAGTGTTTTTTCGATGAATATATATTTCAGGTGATTTCGGATAAATATCCATAAGAGTGACTGTTTTATTGCCAAATCGGCGAGCAAAGACTGGAGCACCAGACACACGTAAACGTTTGTTTGAGTTGGAGACATTCAACATATCGCCGATATTCAAGTGACCGAAAATTGTCTGGAGACATACGTCATCGAGATCAGTCATATTTGTGGTTCTTGTTGATTTCGATGTTGGCATCTTTTGAATACATTGTGAGGCTTTACCGTGCCATTTTTCACCTGATTTGGCATTCATTTCCGAGATTTTGACCTGGTGATCTAAAAAAGAAGGCAGATGAGATTCAATGTTTTATGGTGCATACTTTGACAGATTAATTTGACTTAAATTGGCGCGATTAATTTAATGCTTTCTCTTTCACACTTATTGTATACAGTTTGGAAATAAAACATGGCGTCAGATATTTGCAACAAAAATAAATAAAAAAATATTTGGTTCGAGTCAACACAAAATTTTCCCATTGCACGTCTGAATCAATTTCAATGGGCTGAATCAAACACTCTTCCAATAGATACCTTTTTATTTTTGTATACAGATCGAATCTTTTTTACCTATGAAATATTTTCCTCGCAATAATTGCCGTCCTTTTTAATGGTATGCACACATTTGATTGTACTGAAACTGTGCAACTTGGCGGGCATTGGTCGATTCTGTGATTGTAATGAAGTTAGCTCCATTTTCATTTTTTTCTTGAATGAATTAATTTATATCCGATTTATATGCTGAACATGGCTTGCATACTTTTCGGCTTTGAAGCATGAAAAATTGAGAAAAAAAATTGAATTAGCCAAATACATTCCGTGATGTTCAATTCATCATACTCCAAAAATGAATTATCTATAAGTTTGTATTCGTTTTCATTAATTGTCTTGATAGAATCATGATTGGCTTTAAAGACTTTGGAATTAAATTTAATTGTAAAACGTACAGATTAGCAGACTGTCATAAACCAAAATAGCGATTACTTGTAGCTCTGTAAAGTGGGTTTGTCGATGGGTGTGAAGAGCACCGCAGTCAAAATTGTTTAGCTTCATTCTCCCATTTGTTGTTAGATTGAGAAATATTGGTGCGTTATATTGATAAGGCATCACCATTGTGTTGTGATAAATTTTACAATGCATATAATTTTTTTATTATATGTTGAGCCTAATCTTCTCGATGTAATTTAAACATTTTAAACACGCGCTTCTATTTTTTTTTTTTTAATCGTGAGAAAGCCGAGAAACAAACCACTGTTGGACGATTTCGACAATGGAATTTTACGAACATCAGGATGGCAAACACAACTATAAATATCGTCGATTTCTATCACAGGTACTTGGTGATTTTTTCATATTTATTCAAAGCCATAGCTTCTGACGGACGCATTCTAAGGTGTAATTTTAAAAAAATTCAAAATTGTTAAGTGGTAATTTTCAGCTTCTATGCAAATCTCGATCTTTTTCGTTTTTGCTCTTCACTTTTTTCGCAGCAAATCGAAAGATTATTTTTCTCAATTTGTAAAAGATTTCATTTTCCACATCCATTCTCCAGGGGATGTAATTAGACCCCTCGGACCAGTGGTCAGAAGCTATGTTCAAAACCATTCAATGAACATGATCTTTTCAAACTAATTGTAAATAAATAATGAAATTAAATCAACCATTTAATTTTTGTTCATTTTTCAATGAACAGTTTGGCCTTTCCTGGAATACTAATTCCAGCTTTGACCGGAATTCAAAACAAATTTAATCAGAATGAAACTCTATCGCTTACCGCATCACAAGTCAGCTGGTTAGGTAGGTCAACGGTTTCAATGCTTTGCGATGACAGAACATATGAATAGATTTGGTTGTTAGTTTTATTTTTATTTTTATGTTAATATAACTGTGGAATTGCATGAAATTCTTTTCAGAATGCAAAACTACAAAGAAATATATAACTGTTCACTGATTTATACCAAGTTGATATGTTCATTTCTAATGGAAGTCAAGATAACTTGTTCACCTCTCACAATTATCCACAATTTACTTGCAATTTAATTAGAATCAAAAATGAATACCAATCATTACATTATTACAAGATCTTAATAATTGTTTTATTTCAACAGGTAGCATTAACTATATAGTTCAACCGTTGGGTTCAATCTTATCTGCAATAATAACAGGTGAATAAATAAATATTTTTGATCGAGCTGTTTGAAGAAATTAGAAAATAATGGAAATAATTTCACACATAGATCCACT